CAAAGATCATCTTATGATTATCGATAGTCGATTACTTCTTTTGGACAATTAGAACCAAGAATAATAATAACATTAACACTCTTCGGACATTGGTGGTGGGCTTAGCTATAGAATTCTTCATAATCCAAAATAAAGGGACTCGGAAGTAAAATTCATGCATCTTAGTACTTCAGCAATCTTATGTAGTGTAGCAAGAAATATATAGTTTTACATAAACTTTTTTTCTCAACATTCACTATTATTTTTTCTGAATAAAAGATTTTATTGTTCATTTGGGCATTTGAAGTAATTTATAGTTTTAAAGTAATTTTATTGTTTAATAAAAAACATTTATACAAAAAAGTATTATATTATGATAGCCAAACTTCAATAATTTGACCGTTATTTTTGACATTCATCATTTGTGGATTAATAATTTTAAGGGGAAATACTTCACGACGTTTGTTAATAATATATTCACGTGTAAAACAATCATCAAGTAATGTATCTTGGTGGTAATTAATTTTCACATAAGATAATTGTTCTAATTGATTAAGAAATACTTCAATAATAAATGAACAAATATCAAATGAAAATACTTGTAGTTCAATATAAACCAGTGAAGGAAAACGTTCAACAAATTGTAAAATAAAATTTGAAGGAAAATAAATATCTTCAGTAATTGATTTAATTTTCTTAATTTGTTTGAAAACTGGAATAAGGGATAAATTGTTAATTATTTTGGAACAAAGTAATAATGAGCTATTAATACTAAGAGTAGTTACATTTGGACATGATCTAAAAAAATATATTAGTAATATCAATTTTTTTAAATTTAAAAAAATATACTTGATTATAATTTCAATATGTTTCCACTGATTAACGTGGAATCTTGATCGATTAAATTCTAATTCAGTTATATTTGTTAAATTAACAAAATTTGATAAATAAGTAAGAGTTTCTTGAGCACTATCATTAGTTGTTTGTTGAAAATTAACTAGAACAAAAAGAAATACATGATATAGTATACATTTGTGTATAATATTAAACCAATGATTTTAGTTAAATTAAAAGAAAATTTTTTGTTTTTACCTATATTAAATAAATTGTTTTGCCATGATGATTTTATTACTGGCGTTTCTACTACAACAAGATTAGTAATATTTTGAAATAATGGAGTAGACCAAGTAACATTTGATTTTATATTTTGTATATATAATTTTAAATGTGTTATATCAGAATAAAATGAATGATGATCATCAATTGTTTTTTCTGTTGTTCGTGTTTCAAATGTTCTGCAATGAAGACAAGGAATATTTTCTTTTGCAGTAAATTTCCCTTTGATATAATTCATTGTTCGTAACACAATAAGTTCATCTAAATAGAAGAAAAATGTATTCAATAAAAATTTGAAATTAATTCAGATTTTGTTTCATATTATTAATTTAACTATTTTGAATAATCTCGTTTACCTTGAAGACGAGTATTATACATCCATCTATCAATAATCATATTCCAATTCGAATAT